ACAGTGATGGGAGATGTCATTCTGTTTATGTTTCTCATACTGGTTAATGAATAAAGCACTGTTGGCCAATAGGAAAGCAAGATAGGAGGGACTAGGAGACACTCAGGCTGTCATGAGAAAATAGTCTGTCCTCTGGCCCTGGAAGGTTCTCCCTTGGTCAAGAAGGTGATTCAGCACCAGCTGGGGAAACAGCACCCCTGCCTGTTTGCAGGATCTTCAGGGAAACTCTCTAGAGAATACTCTCTGGGTCCCCTTAGAACACAGACACCATGAGTGTGCTTTCCAACCCCTCCCCAGAGGTTCAATAAACACACTCTGCAGGACCAGGGAAGCTTGGTGTGAGCATGGGTGTCCAGAAAAGTCTCTGAGGAAATACATTCCATGCCAGCTCAGAGTTAAGTAGGAGAGCTCAAGGAGCACTCAGACGAGCTGACACTTGTTAGTGGGGTTGTGGGATGGCAGGGCTAACACTGATTCTGGGGTTTGCTCACAAGGCCACATGGGGTTGGGGAGCGGAGCCCCAAATCCCAGGCCTTCTTTCCAAATCCTTCACCTCCATAGGAAACCCCCTCCTCCCTCTGAATAACCATCTCGTGTCTGCCTCCCTCAACTGCAGCCTATGAGGCAGCTGATATTTTGCGAGAGGCACAAGGCGAGAGTCCCACAGCACAGTGGGTGAAGTTTCCATAAGCACAAAATAGGCGGGCATTGCAGTGTTTTATGAATGAAAAGATACCTCACCCCTTTCCATGCTCCATAAGTCTTTTATGTGAGCACCTTGATGGGGTTTTAATAGCTAAATATGCTAAGAATCCACTTTTGTTGTTTTTGATTCTTGCCTTGCTCTTTAAGTCTTCAATCAGTACTGCCTTGTGGGCCGTGATGAGCATTTGCCTATTGGGGCTGTCCCAGACATAGCCACCAGCCATGTGTGGCTACTCGTACATGACCGTGAGACTGAACTCTTAATTTTGTCTAGTTTTGGTCCATATTTGTGTAAAGTCATAATACCCCTGGCAGGTGTCAACAGCATCTGGCAGCAGACTAGAACTCTGGGTCCTCAGCTCTAAATGCAAATCTTGGAATCTTGGAGCTGCTCTGTCTCCTCACTCAATGATGCTCCGCCAGCCTGCCACTTACGAGTGCTTGCTCAGTGCCTGAGCACAGCATTCTTACTGTCCCAGGAGAAGCAGGAAGCATGTCGCCAGAGAGGAAGCCAGCGCACCCAACCACTTTGGACTCTAGAGCATGGGGGGGTATGGGGGTAGGCAGCCCCATTTATTTATATCACAGAGTGTTACAGTTGTCCGCTCTGCAGCTGAGAAACTGCTAGAGATGGGACGGGACAGAAATTGGCTTTGTCTATGTTCCCTGGCACCTACTCCTGTTGTTCAAAAGATGCCAGAAGAATCAGGGCTGGGGAGGGTGGGGACAGGAGAGCTCTGAGTGAGCAGACACTCTCTGGGTGTCAATAGAAAAAAATAAAAAAGAAAGAAAGAAAGAAAGCTCAGTCACTTTCACATCTGCACCAAAACTGATACAAACGCCAGTGGGTTATTATGGCTCATGCTGTCTAAGTCATGGTGACAAGGGTCTGTCAAATAACTACTCTGAACAAGGCTGGGTCTGGCTGGGTCCTGTGTGGGCTATGGTTACAGGAGTGAGACTTAACACAGGGGTTCTGAAAGGCAAGGTCAACCCTGTTCTTTCTTCAGGCATTGTCCTCCCCCAAGAAGAAACAGATTCGGTCCATAAAATCTCAGCTACAGATCCAAGAACTGACAGCTTCACGGTGGAGGTTCTTCCTGGGCTCTGCCATACACAAGCACCTGGGAGTCTTGTAAAACATGCTGCAGCTCAGGCTTAGGCCCAGCTTGTCACTACTGGGAGGTGGGAGCCTTTATGGGGTTAGATTTGTGGGAAGTCAGGGCAGTCTACTCTTAGAGAGAACAGCCCAGCAGCGCCTGCCTCCTGTATTTCTGCCCCTTCGTGTACTGCCATTACAGTGCGCTCCCCCACCACAGAGCTAAAAGCAGCAGCGCCAACAGCCATGGACCTGACTCAAAATCTTCACTGTGAGCCAAAAGGAACCTTTTGTCTTTGTAAGTTTACCATCTCAGGCATTTGTTACAGTAACAGACACTGACTAGCACAACCTGGACGCTTCAGCTCTGCCACCTGGGGTCTGGGCTCTCCCTGCCCTTTCTAGTACATTCTCTGCCCTGTGTACAACACATCCTTTCACCTCTAAAACAGGGAGCTCATTAGCATGAAACAAAGGTCTCAAATCGCATACTGACTAAGAAGATAAAGAAAGATTGATCCAGAAGAGGGACAGAAGATACAATGTTTCCCTAACATTAGTTATCTTCTCCTAGTCAGGTTTTGACGTCATTTCCCCTGTAGAAACTCCTTCCCTTCCTCGGCTTTTGACTGTCAACTTTCTAAGTTACCCCGTGCAATTTTCTCTGCTTTCCCACCGCACCAGACCAGACCAGTCTTTTGTTAAAGAGCTACCAAACTCCAGAACCTGAATGCCCCATGAGTTTGCCATTTCCCAGGAACGTTTATAATACACACAGAATACTGTGAAACTGTCATCCTTGCTGACCCAGGAATTCTGATTCCAGGAATTGATTGGAAGGAAATAATTAAGAATATCCACAGTGTTCCATTGCGATAATGCTTACATATGCTATTACAGTTATAAACAACTGGAAATAATTTGATGAGTCTAGAGGACCAAGAGCTCAGGGACTGTCTAATATACTGAGGGACTTATAATGAGTCACCAAGTTCATCAACCAACCCCAGAGTTGAAAGGTAAGGCAATGAGTTGGGGTAGATGCATATTTCACAAGACTGGAATCTTACAGATTTGCAGTGACAAGCTTTACAGTTATTCTACAAGTATAGGGTTGAAAGTAAACACAGAGCTACCATAGGGGCTGTGCAAGTGAGAAGTCTTTGTCTGGAGTCCCATTAACCATCAGCAGGTCTAGCTCTAGAGAAAAGGAGGAGAGAGGAAATGAAGTTTCTCCTGCTTCAAAGTCCACGCGTCTCAAAGCAGGGAGCAGCATCAGAAGAAGCCATACTTAAGAGCCAGGACAAAAATGATGGGGAGATGAGGGAAGAAGAGAAAATGTGAGGAGAAAAGGGTTTTTAAGCAGAAAGAGAAATTAAGACGGGACTTTAAAAAAAAAAAAATAAGGCATTGAGGTAAGAGGACGATTTGCTTCAAAAGATTTTTATAGTAAAATTCAGAGGGCTGCTGAAACACAGAGGCAGGCGCTCCAGTGCAGGGTGTGGTTGGGCAGGAGGGGACACTTCTGAGATCAGCAGGGCAGCTGCTTGTCCCCACAGAGATGCCTGGCCCTCCCCTGACAAGGTCACACTCCAGTATTGCCACCTACAATGCAGCCTGGGTGCTGAAACTGTCTTTTCCCATGACATCTATTTACAACTTCTTCCAGAATCAAAGCAAGCTGAACACCTTTGCCTCCACAGGGTCTACTCCTGTCTGGTTCCAACTGGAGAGGCGGTGGCCTGTGGTCCATCCAAATCTGGGTGACAGGAGCCTGGTCCCCCTCCCCAGAACCATGTGATCACTGCAGGTCACTGTCCAGCTCAAGCTTGAAGTTCCCACAGAAGCTCTGGCTTCTAGGGCTTTCCTTAGCAGCTCCCTACCCTATTTTTGACAGCTCCTCCCATGTGTTTAATGCCTAGGCTGCATTGTGTGTATTCACCATTATGCAGCCATATCTGTACCAAACCCAAAGCCCACAGTGGACCTGGAGCCTGCTGAACATAGGAAAAATGTTCTGCCCGCTGTTTGAAAAGGAAGGGTTTGGCAAATGCAGGAAGCAGCTGAGGCTGTGAACTCCGTGGCTAGAGTCAATGTCAGGAAAGGATGTAGATGAGAGCTACACACAAGAACTCTCGGAGGCTGCTCTCCCAAGTCCACGACTGCTAAAAATGTGGGTCACGAAGCTTCCTTTCCTCGGGCTTCTGGAGGACCCCCATCCACAAACCCTCGTTTCCCTCAGTCCTGTCCAATTCTGAACAGACTCCCGGTATATTACAAGCCCAGAGCACACACATTCCTAATCTCTGTCTCCCAGCCTGCTCCTTCCAAGGATGCTCACACACACTGGATAACACCATCGACTCGAGCTAGCTGTCACCTGGGCCCACAGTAACATATCATCGAAAACGAGGGTAGGGAGCTACTAACAACCCAATTCTTAACTGCCATGAAAAGGTGGGCGTGGTGCAGCTGCTTCATCCCAAGGAAGTGGACTAGGAGGGAACCCATCTTCACTAAGCAATCTTGCTATGGAGTCAGTTGACTTCGCTAATGATGCTTAATGAGAGGCTTACTTTTTTCTACAGGCCCACCCATCTCGTCTGTCAGCAACAGGACCCCTGATCCAAACAAAACTTCATCCTCTTAAATCCCATCTCCAGATTGGGATGGCAAGTGGGAGATGAGCTCCAGCCTGACCACCAGCCACACAGCCCCCTGGGGGAGCCTCCTTGTATCCCAGATTCTCTTGGGACTTTGTGGGAGCCCTCCCCACCCGTACCCCTCCTGAAGATCCCCAAGCCCCCAGTACCCACTCCCACAACGTCCCCGTTTCCTGAATGCAGTTGCTCTAAAAGGACATGGAGTGGTCCCCAAGAGCAGCCCGGCCTTCTGGGGGCCCTTCGGGGAGGTGGGTTAGGATACGGGGCAGTTGGCCAGCCAGCGGCGGCCCCTGAAGGGCTTATAGCCCAAGTAACTTTGCTGCGGCTAGAGAGCAGCTGCATCTGATAGTCCCGGGAGGGCAGGGACCCCAGGGACTCCCCTGGCCTCCCGGAGCAGGCCGGGATGTCAGCGTGGCCGCCAGACATTTAAATCGGCCCTACGGGAGGCGGCATGGAAGAAGCCGGAAAGGCGGCGGCCGACTTGGGGGACCGCGGGGTGTCCGCCGGGGTCGAGGAGCCGCGGAGACACTCACCAGCGCGTGTTGTCGTGGAAGTGCTCCAGCACCGCGTAGCCGAAGAAGGAACCCGCCGGGCCCTGGAAGCGCACCGGGCGCTGCGCGTCGAGGTTGTAGGCGCCGGCCGGGACCCCCGCGGCCACCAGCGCCAGCAGCAGCGCTCGGAGCCCCCCGGCGCCCGTCCACGCCGCAGCCGGGCCGCCCATCCCCAGCCGGCCGCCGCCCTGCTCCCTGCCCCACAGTCGGGGCTCCCGGGACACGCCGCTGCCCGGGGCGCGAGCTGTGCGCTCCGAGTCGGAGCCCGGGACGCAGCGATGAGCCGCGGTGCGAGCCGGAGCGAGGCCAGGGGCGGCCGCCAGCGCGCCGCGTCCTCTTGGTCCCCGTGGAGAGGTCTGCGCTCTCAGAAGGAGCGGGTCCCGGCCCGGGCGGCGCTGGACTGAGAGGCGCGCCCGCGGGGTGGGCGGCCCGGGAGGCCGGGCGGGACGGGCCCGCAGCGACCCCTGCTGGACGTGGCGCCACGAACACCGGCTGGATCCGGTGCTGGATCCCAAGGAACTCCATCCTCGCCAGCGTCTCTTACTCTGTGGGGGTCCAGATGGCTGAATCTCTTCCTTTTGTCTTACCCCGTGAGCGTCACACTCACACCAAGCCCAAAAGCCACCCAAGCGAAGGATGGGTGAATATTCTGGCCCTGCCCATATGGAAGCTCTTATTCAGAGGCAAACACTCAAGACCATGAATCAGTTGGTGTTAGTAAGAATTTAGTCGCGTGGAAGCGAGCGGAGCAACCTTCCAGACCCCTTGACCTGACCTGGCCAGTGCTTTCCACCTTTGGAAGACACGCAATGCGGTCAAATCTTGCAAATCAAATTATATACACTTTCATCAAGTACCCCACCGCAGCCCAGCCCCTGGCAAACTTCCTCTCTGACTCTACGAAGTTGACTAGTCCGAGTTTAATGTTACTACTGAACGTTTGCTCAGGTAAGATCTGGCCACACTCCCCCAACTCTCCACCACTCCCTTTTTCCCTCCCTCTCCTCTGCCAAAGCCTCACTCACACTAAACACATGCTTTGCTTGCTTGTGTGTTTTGTTTGTTTTGTTTTCTTTCTTTCTAGTCAAGTTTGCCCTTGTGACAACCAGTTCAAGAGCCTGGGGGTGGGGGTGGGGAGGGCATGTTTAGGAATTATCTAGTCACCACAAAACGCATGGATCTTTAAAGGTGAAGAGCCTCCCCCAGCTGTCATCAGAAAGGTAGTAGGGTCACAAAGAGGCTACACCACTGCCTGTGGAGATGGAGGGAAGGGTCCATGAGCCAAAGAGCTCAGGCAGCTACAAAAAAAAAAAAAAAAAAAAAAAAAAACAAAACAAAACAAAAAAACCTTAAGACAGTGGGAATATTTTCTCCCTTGCTTCCAGGAACACAGTCCAGGCACGCCGTGGCACCCTGTAGACCTGTGACCTGCAGAATTGTTAGATGATAAACTGTGTTCAGGTAATCCGCATAGCCCTGATGTGTAACTGCTATCTTAGCCAGGGCTTCTGTTGCTGTCATGAACACCGTGACCCAGAGCAAGCTGGAAAGGAAAGGGTTTTTCTGTTCACATTCCTAGTTCATCATCATCAAAGGAAGTCAGGACAGAAACTCAAACAGGGCAGGAACCTGGGGGCAGGAGCTGGTGCAGAGGCCATGGAGGAGCGCTGCCTACTGGCTTGCTCCCTCTGCTTTTTGTATAGAATCCAGGACCACCAATCCGGCAATGGCCCCACCCACCATGGGCTGAACCTTCCCACATCAATCACTAATTTCTCAATTGAGGCTTTTGCCTCTCAGATGACTTTATGTCAAGTTGACATAAAACTATCAGCGAACCGGGCTGTCCCCCTACCCAAGTTTCCTTTCTGAACGGTGGCAAAAATGCAGTGACCAAAAACAAACCAGGGCAAGAGAGAGGCTATCCCAGTCTACAGGCTAGTCCCTCACTGAGGAAATAGCACAGGAAGCCAAGCCAATCGTCGAGGAAGGAATCCTAGAGGAACTATGGTACCGGCCTCCTTGTAGGCTTGCTCTTTGACCCATGCTCAGCCTTAGATATGGCATAGGTCACCTGTTCAGGAAGTGGTACCACCCACTTCTGAGGGCTCACCCACAGTCTGAGCCCTCACACACCAACCGACAACCATCTCCACAGTTGTGCCCACAGATAAAACTGATGAGGACAATTACTACTCAATTGAGAGTTTTCTTCAGGTGATTTCAGGCTGTACCAAGTTGACAGTTAGTGCTAACTATGCTAACTAGTACAGTAACTTAAGCTCTATGTAAAAGTGTGTGTGTGTGTGTGTGTGTGTGTGTGTGTGTGTGTGTGTGTGTGAACATGACCCATAGATTTTTAACAGATCCTTAAGAGGTAAGGTAGAAAAGGTAACTTGAAAAGGTTAGGAACCGGGAGTCCAAGAAATACATCAGAGGTTGAAAGCACTTGCTACTCCTGCAGGGGACCTGGGCTCAATTCTCTGCACCTACATATTGGCTCACAAACAGCTCCAGCCCCAGGAGATCAAACACCCTCTCCTGATCTCCACAAGTACTTCTTGTATGTTGTGTATGCTGTACCCATATACACAGGCAAATAATCCTGTCTACACATAAAAGTAAATGGATCTTTAAAAGCTCCATTGTCTAAAACACACTGATTATAGTCTTTACAAACGAACCCTAAAAGTGGTGCTGGTAAAACCTATTGCCTTTCATCTCATTAAACAGGGGCTCCTGCACATGACGATACATTGGAATCCACGGATAGCATTTAAGAAATAGATTTGGGGATAGAGAGATTGGCTCAGCCATTAAGAGCATCTGCTGCTCTTGCAGAGGACCCAGGTTCACTTCCAAGACCCACATGGTAGCTCACAGCTACCTGTAACACCAGTTCCAGGGAATCACTTAAAAAGAAAATAAATGCCGGGTGGTGATGGCGCACACCTTTAGTCCCAGCTCGGGAGGTGGGGGCAAGCGGATCTCTATGAGTTAGAGGCCAGCCTGGTCTACAGAACGAGTGCCAGGATAGGCTTCAAAGCTACATAGAGAAACCCTGTCTCAAAAAAAATTAATTAATTAAAATTATATATATACACATACACACATATACACATACACACACACACACACACACACACACACACACACACACACACACGTCCTCAGAAAAGAGATCCCCAGCTTGGCATTATGGCAGGAAAGCCATAGACTGGGGGGAAAAATCAAACAAACAAAGAAATAAAAGCAGGGACTCAAATCTCAGATCTGACCAACTGTGGCAACCTGGTAAGTTAATATAGTGAGGACACCATAAACTGATAAGCCCTTGAAATGTACTCATGAGCTGTTTGAGGTGGTTTTAAATTTATAGAAAGGGAACGGTTAATGGTTACTCATACTGTTTGGCATCAGTGGTCAACAGTTAGTTCAATTTCCTCCCCGCCAGGACAAGCTTCTCTGTCTCTGGGATGGCTGAGTAGAGGGCTGGTGCATCCGTGAGTCTTCTGAAAAGTGCTCACTGCAGCTCACAGTTGTCAATGCGGTGGGGAAGGAAGGGCAAATGGCTGCGGGAGCACGCTCTGCGGCTCCTCACATCTGGGCAGAGGGGATGCAGAGAAGAAGGGTTTAATGCCTCTCCACTGGCTTTCACCTTTCCCCCTTTTAAATCCAGTCTGGGATCCCAGCCTATGGAAAGGTGCCGCCCACACTGGGCGTGAATCTCCCTCCTCAGTCAAACCGTCATGGAAGCAGACATGTCTGGAGGTGTGTCTCCACGGTAACCCTGTCTTCAACCAAGCTGACAGTGAAGATCTGAACACAGGGAAAGCTCTCATCAAACTGTCCACACAGAAGGCAGATTTACTTCCTGGCACTGTGTTACTTTAGAAACTGCATCTCTTGTCCAGTTTTCTAACCAAAATCACAACCCAACGTTCCTCTTCCTTTGTACCCATAGGTCAGTGCGACTCTCAGCTCTCAGCTCAGAAGCATCTTTTTGCAATAGATGGTGATTGACCCCTGGGTCAAGGTGCAAAGAACAGGAGACACTGTAGTGCTCAGCCCTAAATGGAGCGTCCATTCACACTTCCCTGCTCCTGGGGGAAAAGAAGGGCAGAAAGTAGTGGAGGGCTGCTGTGCACGACAGGGCAGCTGCTCCTAGGAAGAAGCTCACTGAGGCTGGGATTCCATGCACAAGACCTGGGCAAGATCAAGCCAGACAAACCCTCAGCACAGATGGGGGAGGGCCACTGGGGAAGGGGATCATTTTCTTCAGAGCTGTGACTCCAGATGGATGCTCAAGCTCTATCGAATGTCCCTGTACAGATACTGGTGATACACAGTGAACTGGGGGGGGGGGAGGGGGTGAAAAAAAGAAGTATGTAAATCTGAGAGGGAAAGTCATGTACATGCATGCTCACGTGTGTGTGTGTGTGTGTGTGTGTGTGTATGTACATGTCTGTGTGTTCATGCATATGTCTGTGTGTACATGTCTGTGTGTGTCCGTGCATATGTCTGTGTGTGTTCATGCATACATATCTGTGTGTGTGTGTGCCTTTGTGTGTGTGCATGTGTGCGTGTGTGCGTGCATGTGTGCGCATGTGTGTGGATGAGGCAGGAGCTGCCAGCCTGCTCGATGTTGTATTTTTAACTAAAGAACTGTGTGTAGCCCTTCTGCTTCTGTGATGGGATTAACAAAGGGCCTTTTCACATATTAAGCACATATTGGTCTGTGGGTTGCATCCCTGTGGTCCTAAAACCTGCCAATCTTGCTGGTGTCTTTCTCTTTGGTAGGATTTTTCATTGGTCCAAGTCTTACTACATGACCCGGTGGCCTTAAACCCTCCTCCCGCCGCCTCCCATCGCTGGGGTTTCACAGTTGTCCCCATGTCCAGCTCCTAGTCCCACTCTGACCGCTTCCTTCAGGTCTTTAGATTTCCCAGCTCCCGTCATCCAGGGGTGTGAAGGCTGTAACCACCTCGCAGCCTCTGCGCATTCACTCTCCGTGTAGCTTGTTTCCTTGTGTGTGCTGAGCTTTGGCTGCAACCTCTCGTTCCTTGGAATTTTGTCTTTGTTGGGAACATTCTCCGTGGACAAATTGTACTTCTTTCTGGCAACAGCCTGGGCACTGCTGATCCACCTTTGCTGTGACCTAATGTCTGGCTTAGATAGGTGACTGGTGACAGGCAACAAATATACAGATAGGTAAGTAATAGGTGACCATAGATAGGTAGATAATAGGTAACAGGTAGATGGATGGATAGATAGGTAGGTCGATAGTAGACAGATGTAGGTGATAGGTAGACAGATAAAACACAGCCTCCCGTTTCACTCATTTACATTCCACCAAGGGTCACAACCCAAGGAAAGACTTGGTC